GAGAGAGAGAGAGAGGATAGTTACTGTGGTTCTATACCAAAACACCTTTTCAATATCAGAGTTGAGATTATATTCATTTACAGAAGAAGATGATTATATTAGCAAAATGCAGACATCAAAATAGCGTTGTTTTTAAATAACACTCTTATATCTTTACTGGCAACCAGGTCTAAATCTGGTTGACATATTGATTTCCTATTTCAGTCGCATCTTCCACCCATGGAATTGACTAAGGGAAAGCATATCATTTCACGCGTGGTCCATAGTCAGGGCATCCATCGCCATCCTTGAGAATGGATGGTGGATGCATTGGCTGTGTACCATACACAAAGATAGATTATGTACGGTGTACTTTTGCATGCACATTGGTGGCAACTGATTGAGAGGCTTCATCATGGCTGCATACACATGCAGGATGCTCCGGAGCTCTGGATTAGCAGGCAAGATTACTTAGAAGAGGGAGTTGGGTGCTTAAGAAAGTGTGGACAATCTTAAATGTTTGGATTTGCAGTCACAAGGAAGATGTGTCCGTGTGTGGCTCATGCCAACTCAGTGCTATGATCCCCCTTATGAAATGAAATTCCAAATGATCCCTGATACAATAACTGGGTTTGAGAGCGATTCTTCACTTTGATTCTAAATTCAATTATTTCAGGTCTAATGAATTTGGGCTCCAACTGAAACGACTCCTGTATTGCTATCGAAGTCTGAAATTGATAAAGACTCGATACTTCTAAAGAAAAAAGAAATGGTAGAGACTGCTTAGTAGAGACCAAATTGAATAAAGACTCTTACTTTAAAGAAACAAGGAAAGGGTAAAGACAACTTAGTAGAGACCAATTTGAATATAGCAGAGGGAAAGACGTATAAGATGTATAGTAATAAAGGAACCCGCAGCCACCATCCACTCAGTGTCTTATTGTCTCTCACAATGTTGGACTGCTGTTTCTTACTTCCCTTGTGGTGCTCCTTTGTCGCCTCCTCGTGCTCCTCACCCTCCTCCTCATGCTTGTTCACCCTTTGTGCCAATTTGTTTATGAGCCTTTCCTGAGCCACATTCCTTTTGAAAAGCTTGGAGACCATGTCCTGCAGTATCTTTAATCAACTCTTGCAGTTCACCTTCTACCCTTTCCATTCCCCCCAAGGTTTTTTCACCTTCTATGGCAGCATTCTCTTCAGTGCTTTCCTCCACAGAATGGCCTTCTTTTGGGCTAGACTTCCATGCAGCTTCGTGTCTTCTAGGGCTTCATAAGAAACATCACCACAACTGCCATTCCCTGTGGCCTGATTCTTGCCCTCGACTTTTCCAACTTCCTGGGTTTCAATACAAGCATCACGAGTGCCCTCTTCATTTTCCAGATCTGCTCTTTCTTCTGAGTATTTCTCAATTTCCAGGGATTTCAGTTGTGGCATTCTGATCTCCGTTTAACGGATTCTCTAGTTTTGCAACTTTCCCGCTCTCAGTTGGCTCAAAAACCTTTTTGAGCCCTGGTTTCTGAAAGTCTAATTCATTAATCAGCTCTTCGAGCTTGAAGACCTTTTGAATCGCTCCCTTTTTACAGTCTCTTGCAACAAAAATGACACTCGGGATAGAATCTAACCGAATAAGCACAGATATTAGAACCTCATTCATCGTCAACCTCTCTTTCTCGTCGCTTTGAATCGAGCCCTGCATTTCTTGTTTGACTATCCGGGAACCACCTTTGCGATCAATTTCAAAAACTTTCTCACTCTAAAAGCTCTCTGGATCTTGAGGGCTGCATCATATTGGTCTCTCTCCGAAAAGATCCTGTACACAGGCATCGAAACACTCTAAACTGCACCATTGTATAGGCACTGAGACCACATTATCTGTGGCCCCTGTTTTGGCTTTGGAAACAGGTTTCAAGCAATGGTTACTGGAAACTGATTTTGTAATTTCAGTTAGCTCGAAAACCTTATCAAGCCCTGGTTTCTGAAAGGCTAGTTCATTACTCAGCTCTTCAAGCTTGAAGACCTTTTGAATCACTCTCTTTTTACAGTCTCTTGCAACAAAAATCAAACGGGGGATAGAACCTAACCGAATGAGCACAGATGTTAGAGCCACATTGGTGGTCAACCTCTCTTTCTCATCGCTTAAAATCAAGCCCTGGATTTCTCGTTTGATTATCTGGGGACCGAGCTTATCAGCTTCTTACTTCATCTTTGCGACCAATTTCACAAATCTTCTCACTCTAGAAGCTCTAAAAGCTCTCTGGATCTTGAGTGCTGCATCATATTGGTTTCTCTCCGAACCGGACTTATTGGCCACTGACTTCACCTTTGTGATCAATTTCACAAACCTTCTCACTCTAGAAGCTCTAAAAGCTCTCTGGATCTTGAGGGCTGCATCATATCGATCCCTCTCCGAAAACATCCTGTACATAGGGATCCATACACTCTCTGAACTGCCCCATTGTATAGGAACTGAGACCCTTGTTTTGGCTTTGGAAACTAGGCCAGCTATGGCAGGAATTTGTTCTAAAACTGATAGGAAATTGATAAAAAAACTGAAAAGAATACTGCTTCTAAATGGAACACATTAATATTAAGAGAACTATTGTGATTAATATATATACAGGGGAATAAAGCATGCTTTGGGTGCCTTATTATAAAAACTGCTTTGGGTGCCTTTTTAGTAGTTTTTTTGAGTAGCAAAAATATACCTGACAAAAAGAATAGAAGAGGGATCACCACGAAACTTGGGGATGTCATGAATTTAGCGGGTTTTTCTCACGTTGAGCTGTACTAAACTACCCACGATAGAAATCTTGTTAAAATCATGAGTATTTGAATTTATCCAAATTTAAAAATGGAATTTCCCATTTTTTTTGATCAGTATACACATATCTTGAACTTTAAAATTAGAAATGAAAAATAAACGTGGGCAATCAACTTCCCAAAGACTATAATGTCAAAGAAAATAAATAAATAAATAATTGAAATGAGGAATATATAGTAGTTGAACTACGTGAACGCACGCATGCAATTGCTTGTAGCTAATAAATTTGATAAATCACAAATCATCTCTTAGATAATGAGAAGTTTTTAACTAGTTATTATTTTTATAAAAATAAATTCTAGAAAAACCTTAGTTTCGTTAAAAGGTATGGTTTTCGTAAGGTTGTAACCTTAAACAATCCAATTAAGGCGCAGCTTCAAATTTTATCATATCACATAATTTTGATGTAAAATAATCTTAGGATTATCTCAAAATCTATTCTCATATCTAATAATAAAATTTTAAACTCCAAAAAGGGTTAAAATCAAGTCGATCTATAAACCTATGAATATCTTGAAAATAGAGGATCTAGATAATGTGTTGTTAGTTGTACTATTTTGGGACTCAAAATCCTTTTTTTTTTTTTCATAGTTATAGAGGGTTTTTCAACATTAAAACAACCTCTTTTGATGGATTTTTGAGGTGCCTACCTAGTTTTACATTTTAAGGTTGCAACCTTATAAACTTTTGCCTTCCTAAAATCGTATTTTAAGCGATTTTTTCTTTCTCTACTCTTCAAAAGCTTCCATGAAAATCCCACCTCTCCTAAAATATCTCATTCTCTATCTCTTGTGCATGCTCTCTCTCTCCTCAAATTTTATCACAATGATGAGATCTCATTCTTGTGTGCATTCATATTCTCTCTCCCACTCCCTCTAACTAAGATATAGAAATAAGAAAAAATTACATAAAACCCCAAAAAATAGATTTTCTAAGCAATTTACCCAACCTAATTTTTCCTATAGCAAATACCTCCCCAACGTAAAAAAAAAACGAGACTAAAATTCCCATCCGTTACGTCCACGTTGATTATGGCGGTGTGGCACTTCACCATAGTGGTCCAGCGTTTGGAAGAGGCATTTCGGCACTTAAAGTCACTAGATTTGGAACGATTCGGCACTTTATCATGATGGTTCGGAACTTTGCCATAATGGTCTGGCACTTCACCATGGCGGCCCGGCATTTGGAAGAGGCGGTCCGGCGCTTATGTTACTGGAGTGTGCGGTCTGGTGTTTGGAAGAGGCGGTCCGACAATTATGTCACTGGAGTAACGGTCGTTCCGGCATTTTATAAGTGCGGTCCAACATTTGTTTCTGGTTTAATGAGTAGTTTGGCGTTTGTGAGCTACTATCTGGCAAAATTGTGTCTTGAATAGGAGGCCTGACAGTGTATAGTTTCGGTCCGACGGAATGGATGGGTCTGACAATATACAACTGCAGTCCGCCGTTTCTTTTTATTGGAATCCGAAAATGATTTGTTATATACGAAAAGGGTATTTTCATAAAAAAACAGTAATATTTTTGTATTGGGGGATATTTGCTATAAAACTTAATTTTTGAGGAAAATATGTTAAGAAAGTTAGGGGGCATAAAGTGCCTAGAAAGTCTACTTTTGGGGTTTTTATGCAATTTTTTCTAGAAATAATGTGGAGATATTGAAACAATATTGATATCTCTCTCTTGTTTAGTTTGTGAAAATGTTAAAAAAAAAGAGATTCTCTATAAAATTAGGGTCTTTTCATATTTTCATGACACGTGTCCACCCCCATAACTTTTGCTTAATAATATCGTGTAGCAACACCACTTGTGGTGTATGCTCTTAAAATCCTCAACATTTTTTGACACTTAGATACCCTTATTTTATAATGTAGTAAGTTTTTGTTTAGGGGTATTTTAAGTAATTAGTCAAGAGCAAAGTAAAAATTCCTAATAGAGACAAAATCATTTATTAACAATAGTAGACATTGACATCACCGACATGGTGTGTGCCCCACATAATGCATTAATTGTTTTTTAACTATTAATAGAAGACTACTATTTACTTATAGAAACATCCATTCTACCCCTTTAAATGATAAAAAATGCCTTTGCTTGAAACTTTTTTTTATTACAATTTATGGGTATCTAAGTGTCAAAAGATGTGAGGACTTTAAAGGGATACATCATAAGTGGTGTAGCATAACAAAACCCGGTTTGTTATATATATATATATATATATATATATA